GGAGGAAGGTAAAGGGGGGCATGGAGGGACATGGGGGAAAGGGCAACGGGGGCAAGGAGCCGGGGGAAGAGGGGATATGGGGACAAGAGGGGATGTAGGCGAAGAGGGGGTCGTGGAGGAGAAGAGGGATTATGGGGGGAAAGGAGGGATGTCGGGGGGAAGAAGGGATGCAGGCAAAGAGGTGTGATGGAGGAAGGGGGCATGGAACACGAGGGGAGAGGCGACACAGCAGGAAGAAGAGACACAGGATGTGTGGGAGAGGGGAGGTGGCAGGGAAATGCATGTGGGACATGGGAGGAAGAGGGGATATGGGGTGGGAGGGGGCGATACAGGCTGGCATGGGGACATGGGGAAAAGGGAGAATATGTGGAGAGAGGGAACATGGGGGTTACGTGGGGAGAAGAGGTGACACTGGAGGAGAAAATGGACATGGGGATAAGGAGAAACGGAGGGGAGCACATGGGGACAATGCTGGGGCGAGGGAGGGAACATGTGGGCACTGCCACATCAGGAAGGACCCAACTAGGGTAAAATTCACCCCACACGTGGGCAGGAGTAGGGCTCTGCATCCTGCAGGCACAGCCCTGTGGGTCTGGTTGGGGATTTTTGCCTGTTTTCAGCCATGGCATCACCAGCTGGGGGGTAACAGGGTAATGTCTGCCCCAGCACAGGGCTCAGCTGTGCAAGGAGTGACAGGAGGCAGCACTTACACAATGGCGCTTTCCCTTCCTCTCTCCCCACTCTCTGGGTGTGAATTCCAGCAGATCACATTCGTATAAATGCAAATAAAATGGTAAATGGGAGTTTTTCCTTTCTCAGTCAACAGAAGGAGAAGGAAATGAGCTGACATGTCTGAGGGCAGCAAGGGGAGCTTGCTGGCCTTCGGCCAGGTGGTAATCGGGCCTCCAGGCTCTGGGAAGACGACCTACTGCCATGGCATGCAGGAGTTCATGGGCAGGATCGGACGCAAGGTGACGGTGGTGAACCTGGACCCCGCCAACGAGGTGATGCCCTACCAGTGTGCCGTGGACATTGCTGAGCTCATCACCCTGCCCGATGTGATGGAGAACTTGAAGCTGGGGCCCAACGGGGGCTTGATCTACTGCATGGAGTACCTGGAGGCCAACTTTGACTGGCTGCAGGAAAAACTGGCTGTGTTCAGGGGTCACTACTACTTGTTTGACTGCCCAGGACAGGTTGAGCTCTATACCCACCACGACGCCCTGAAGAACATCTTCGCACAGTTGGCCAAGTGGAATTTCAGGGTAGGTTTGGGGCTCTGTGGGGAGCTGGGCTCAGCACCTGGCACCCCACGTGCTTGTGCTAGGGGCTCAGAAGCTGTATGCCATAGAGCTTTTGATTGTGGGTACTAATAACTTTTCTTACTAACCAGTTTGGTCTTTCGTGTGAAATGGCTTTATCAGGGAAGGAGAGGTATTTTGCCCCATTTTATGTTCAGAGGGATTGGCAAAAGAGTGGCTTGCTCAGGGCATTTAACACAGCGAGATTATCATGAACAGAAACATGGATTCCTTCCTCACACACTCTCGCTGTGCTCCAGGGTTCTGTCCACAGAACCATGTGTGTTTTATCCAAGTGGGTGCTGTATTTCCAAGCGGGGAGGTCGATGTGTGTGCTGGGTGAGTGGGGACCCTTTGCACTGCACTGAGAGAAATTCAGGCATCATCTCAGGCCCTACCTGGCACTCCTGCAGCCAAGCCGAATCTCTCTGCACATTGTAGTACGTGCTCTGTGCTTTCTTGCACAATGGAAGATGCAAATGAAGAAGCGCAGGTGAGAAGAGTCCCATAACCACGTTAACTTGCTTACGTTGCATTTGTTTTGCATTTGGGCCAAACCATGAATGTGCAAAGGGTGTACGGTGTGAGCAAGAAGGGTAAGTTCATTTGCGTGAGAATGTCACTGGGAATCTGCACATTAGAAATTATTTTTATTCAAATAAATGTATATGAAATTGTAGTTACTAAAAAAAGATAGTTACACAGCTGTTTTGATGCTCACTTGAGTGCTTACACCTGCCTGTGAGCTTTAAATTGGCTTTTTTTGCTGCAGAAGCATAGATGTGACTCAACCACACTTGACTGTAGAACCCTGACTTTGAGTAACATTGTGTAACAGGCAGTAACTAAACAGAGATCTTGGACCACATTGTTACAGCTGCATGAAACACAGGGAATCAAACTGCTCATTAATTTAATTATTAATTATTATTTCAAACCACATGACAATTGGTTCTCCCAGCAGAGCGTGGTGTGCTACAGTTACTGCTCCTGAGTGTATGCTGTGC